TTATGGATATTTTTTATTGATAATTATGATCAATTGAATTGAAAGTATCTATCATTTAATTACGGTAGCTTATTTCATTTATTTCCTTTATACTACTCTTTACTTAATTACTTATTTCATTTATTTCCTATATACTACTTTACTTAATTACTTATTTCATTTAAAGAACTCTTTACTTAATTACTTATTTCATTTATTTCCTATATACTACTCTTTACTTAATTACTTATTTCATTTATTTCCTATATACTACTCTTTACTTAATTACTTATTTCATTTATTTCCTATATACTACTCTTTACTTAATTACTTATTTCATTTATTTCCTATATACTACTCTTTACTTAATTACTTATTTTATTTATTTCCTTTATACTACTCTTTACTTAATTACTTATTTCATTTATTTCCTATATACTACTCTTTACTTAATTACTTATTTTATTAAATTCCTATATACTACGCTTTTCAGATTATAACATAAGAGCATTTAAGATGTTAAATTCAATCATTTTGAATTAATCTTTGAAAATAAAAAAACAAAAAACTTCGAATGTTATTATTTGAGTTTTTTAACTTAATTATTAAATGGAATGATTAATCCTAATTTATCGTAATTGTAAATTTTTTTCTTTCTTTTTTTTTATCAATTTAAATATTTTTTATATTTTTATTTGAAAAATTTTGCAAATGCTTTATTAAAGGTTTGGAATTCGCAAAATGAGTAGCAAATTAATGAATAAATTAAAAATTGGACATTCTAAAAGTACTAATATTATTGTGGATCAAACATCAAAAGTTTCGGAATTATCGTCACCAATTTTGAAGACATCATTGTCACATCATCATCAACACTCAATCACCACCACTAGATCATCGGAAAAACCAATTTTTACAATTGATGAGCAATCATCCGGTTTATCATCACCGCCATTATCGGTAGCTAAACCGGCATCCAACTATCAATCATCTTTTCGTGAAAATGAAATTAACACTAAATGGTATTTGTTAATTTCTAAAAATTTTATTCTTAAATTAAATCTTAAAAATTTAATCTTTTAAATTTTTCACTAATTTAGAAAACGTTAACAAAACGTGTAACTCAAATGAATGAAAATTTCATATTTCTTTAGTGCTTATTTATTTCGTGGTGATTCACTGTACAACAGTAAACAACCGGATCCGGATCTGGATCCTGAATCATTGGACAATCAAATTGAACGTGTTTATGTTTATGATCCATTTTGTCCAATTCATGGCTCAAGACGTCGTATGATTAGCAGAAGGACAAGAATACGAGATTTTGATTATCATTTAACCAGTATTGAATCAGTTGATGATACGGAACCATCAGGAGTTATCTTACTCAGGAATGAAAATTTATATTTCAATTTTTCAATTTATAAAATTTATAAAATAAGCAAAAAAAAAAAACTCAAAATTTGAAATGAATTTGAAATATTTATAAATTAATTTTTAGCCAAGGTTTTGCTGCAAAATTAATTCGAAAAAGACGCCGTGCGCTTTTGTCTGGCTCCGAGAAATATCGTTCTGATAAAGCAAAAAGAAAAATTCGAGTAAATTTATGGATTGTTAGCTTAGCATTTTTATTTCTTTTTACTGCTTTTCATGGTTTACAAAATTTACAATCATCAATAAATGGTCGTTTGGGAACAGATAGCCTTTCGTATGTTTCTATTTATTTTTATAATTTTATATTAAATTTAATTTATAATATTTTTTTTATCAAACAAAAGCATTTTACTAGCACACTGATAGCTTATTAATTAATCTAACATCAAATATTTTTTTTTTTTTAAAAACATTAAAATTATTTGAAATGAAATTCTTTTTTTTTTTTTGGTTTTGGTTTTGGTTTTGGTTTTTTAAAATTTTATTAAAAATTTTTAGAATCTTTTATATCAGCTTATCATTATCATATTTATTTGTTCCATCATTCATTTTAAATCGTCTTGGATGTAAACGTACATTAATCGCATCATCAGGAATATTTATGATTTATATGCTTTCAAATTTTCTACCTAAGTAAGTTTTTATTAAAATTAGCATAAAATAATTTTTATAAAAGAAAATTAAAATATATCAAGAAAATAGCAATGTTTATCATATCATATCATATCATTTCATTTCATTCTTATCAAAAGCTTTTTTTTAAGTTTTTTTTTTTTATTATTTGTGTATTCAATTAAAATATTTTATTTTATCCAATATTCTTTAATAATAAATAAAAAATAGAAATACTTTAAAAATTAAAAAAAAAAAAACATTTATATAATTATATAACATCTTTTATAGATATTACTCGCTTATTCCAGCTTCTATTCTTGCCGGATGTGCCGGAAGTTGTCTTTGGGCAGCAAAATGTGTTTACATTTTAGAATGTGGAACAAAATATGCGCAATTAAATATTGAAGCGCAAAATGTCGTTATTATTAGGTATTCATATTATTATTATTATTATTACTTATATTAGATAAATTTCTCGGAATAAAATATAAATTATTTTTGAAATAGGAAAATCAATTATTAAAATAGCATCGTAGTTATAATTTTATTAAAATTGTATTAAAATATTTGAAATCGATTATTAGATAATTAAAATGGCAAAGCATTGTAATTATGATTTTGTATTGAAATATTGGAAATCAATTATTATATAATTAAAATGATACAGGCATTATAATTATAATTCTGTATTAAAATACTGGAAATCAATTATTATATAATTAAAATGTTACAGGCATTATAATTGTAATTCTGCATTAAAATACTGGAAATCAATTATTATATAATTAAAATGATACAGGCACTATAATTATAATTCTGTATTAAAATACTGGAAATCAATTATTATATAATTAAAATGTTACAGGCATTATAATTGTAATTCTGCATTAAAATACTGGAAATCAATTATTATATAATTAAAATGATACAGGCATTATAATTATAATTTTGTATTAAAATATTTGAAATCGATTATTAGATAATTAAAATGGCAAAGCATTGTAATTATGATTTTGTATTAAAATATTGGAAATCAATTATTATATAATTAAAATGTTACAGGCATTATAATTATAATGTATTAAAATATGGAAATCAATTATTATATAATTAAAATGATACAGGCATTATAATTATAATTCTGTATTAAAATACTGGAAATCAATTATTATATAATTAAAATGTTACAGGCATTATAATTATAATTTTGTATTAAAATATTTGAAATCGATTATTAGATAATTAAAATGGCAAAGCATTGTAATTATGATTTTGTATTAAAATATTGGAAATCAATTATTATATAATTAAAATGTTACAGGCATTATAATTATAATTCTGTATTAAAATAATGGAAATCAATTATTATATAATTAAAATGATACAGGCATTATAATTATAATTCTGCATTAAAATACTGGAAATCAATTATTATATAATTAAAATGATACAGGCATTATAATTATAATTCTGTATTAAAATACTGGAAATCAATTATTATATAATTAAAATGTTACAGGCATTATAATTATAATTTTTGCATTAAAATATTTCAGGTTTTTTGGTTACTTCTTTATGGTACTACATTTAGGCCAGGTAATTGGTAATCTTATTTCATCCGTTATTCTTACCGCTTCAACCGGTTATTATCAATTAGAAGATCAGGTGCAAAAATGGTATCAAATTTTTTTCATTCTTTTATTTCTTCAAATTTAACATTTTTTTTTGTTTTATTTTCTGTAACTTTTTGATGGCATATAGCATAGCTTTAAATTTTTGTATATTAGTTTTATTAATATTTATTTATTTTTTGATTAGTCATTTTTTAAATGTAAATTTATTTCTTTTTCTTTTTAAATTAAAATTTTTTTTGCTTACAAAAAAAAAATTATTCAATTAATGAATAAAATTAATATTTAAAATATGCAAATTTCAGTTGTGGTCATTTATTTCGTGATAATATATCATACCTAAGTAAGCAAGCAATTGAAAATTTACAGCGCCCGGCGCAAAATGTTTATTTGTCACTTTGTGGCATTTATTTTTGTTGCACAATTGTTGCACTTATGATTGTGCTACTTTTTTGAATTCACTAAGAAAAGATGAAATTTCCAGGTTTGAAATATTTCACTTCTTTTTCCGTTTTTCTTGTCAAACGGAACGATGTAATATTTCCGGAAATGTTAAGCATAATTTAACCAAAAATATCAAATTAAATCAAAAAATAAAAAGTACTCGCATATTTGGAAATGTTAAATTAAATTATTTCAAATACATATAAATTAATTAGTTAAAATATGACCGAAAATATTAAATTAAATCGAAAAATAAAAAGTACTCGCATATTTGGAAATGTTAAATTAAATTATTTCAAATACTAATAAATTAATTAATTAGAATAAATAAAACCAATGTTAAAGTTAATATCAACAAAATATTTATAATATTATTTCGAATAAACTCAAAAGTCTGTGAAATAATTTTTTTTTTAAAAAAAAATAAAATTGCGTTTACAAATATTTTATAAAAATTTTTTGTAAAATGATTGATTGTTCAAAAGGTATTATAATAAAAGAATTACTAGCAGATAATAAAATTTATCAGTGAAACAAAAAATATTTGATAAAAGAAAATGCTGGAAAAAGTTCAATGATTTTCTAATATTTACTTATCAATTAATTAAATTTAAATTAAAAATTTTTTATCATAAAACTTTCCATTATTTTTCTTTTAGTCTAAACTATGCTCATTAATACAAATTGTGATAAATTACCAAAAAATAAATAAATAAAAATGTAAATTGGAAATTTTGTGATTAAATAATAATTTAATTAACATTTTTATAATAGAACGATTAATAGTATTTCAAACAAAAACAAAATTTTTCGTTTAACTTTTTTGAAAATTTAAAAAGATTTCTTCTTCTAAAAAAAAAAAAAAGGTATAAATAAAATTACTTTAAAAATTTTTAAATGATAAAATTATTGAATTACAGATTAAATGCACCATTCTTTTCAACAGATATTTGTAAAGCAATATTTCGGAATCTTACTTATCCTAAATCACTGCTACTTGTACCTTTGACACTTTTTAGTGGTGTTGAACAAGCATTTGTTGTAGGCCTCTATACAAAAGTAATTTTTAGTTATATTTCTAATTTTTTTATTTTTATTTATTTCTTTTTTTTTTTTTTAGAAATTATAGGTCTTGTTTTATTGACAAATGAAATTTCCTTGTCAAATAATAAAAATTAATTAATTGTTTTATTGACAGATGAAATTTCCTTGTCAGATAATAAAATTAATTAGTACATTTAAATTATTGTTTTATTGAAAGATGATAGTTTCATGATAGATAATAAAGTTAATTAATAGAGATTTTTTCTTTAGTTCTTTTGTTGATAGATGAAAATTTTTTTGTCAAATAACCAAAGTAATTAATTAACAATTACTTTTTTAAAGGCTTACATTGGTTGTGGCCTTGGTATTGGCCAAATTGGATTCGTAATGACAGGATTTGGTGTAGCAGATGCTGTTTGTAGCCTAGTTTTTGGGCCATTAATGAAATTATTTGGACGAATGCCTTTATTTGTTTTTGGTGCTGTTATCAGTATGCTTGTATCATTAACACTTCTGATAAGTTTCATTTATCAAATTTTAATTTGATGAAAAAATATGAAATTATCAAAAAGTATAACTTTCCCAACTTTTAAAATCATTTTTTTTTTTCATTTTATTTTCAATTTCATATCATTATCATTTCTTGATTGCTGAAGAAAATGATAATGATAATTGTTTAATTTAAAATGAATAAATATCTGATCCGGTAATAATATAATCCGGTAACAAAAATCCGGTTTAATATTATCAAAAAGTATAACTTTCCCAACTTTCAAAATCATTTTTTTTTTTCATTTTATTTTTCAATTTCATATCATTATCATTTTTTGATTGCTAAAGAAAATGATAATGATAATTGCTTAATTTAAAATGAATAAATATCTGATCCGGTAACAATATAATCCGGTAACAAAAATCCGGTTTGATATTAATCTATTCAATTTAATTTTCATCTTCAAACTTTAACTTTATTATTAATTTTAGATTTGGCCTTTAAATCCTGGTGATACATCATTATTCTATGCTATTGTTGGTGTTTTAGGCATGGCTGATGGTGTCTGGAATACTCAGATTAGTGGTTGGAATTTTTATTTCTTTAATTAATTTAATAAATAATTAAAACTTTTTTTTTTTAAATTTAAATTTTAAAGAACGAAAAAAAAAAAAAAAAAAACATTGACAAAAAAGAGAAAAGTGAAGAAGAAAAGGAAAGAAAATGAAAGGAATCGAGAAAAAAAAAAATTAAAAATGAAAAATTGATAAATAATAATTTTAATTATAGGATTATGGATAGCACTATCATCTAGTCATCTTGAAGCTGCATTTGCTAATTATCGATTCTGGGAATCAACCGGTTTTGGTTTAGGACTTATCCTGATCCGTTTTACAAATATCACACAATTTTTACTTATTTCATTAGGAATGCTATTGATTGGAATGCTCTGTTATTTGAGTATCGAATTTTATGATAATATCAGTGTATGTTAAATTTTAATTATCAATGATAAGCTTTTAATATGATAAAATTCTTAGTGATTCCCTAATTAGCAATTATCAATCTGTCCATTAACTATTGATAGTTATTGATTCTCTCGAGAATTTTCTCTCGAGAAAAATGCTAATCACATCACATTCCTAAAATTAGTCTTACTTTGTTTTTTGTTTTTTTTTTTTTGTTTTTACTGTTAAAATAAATTCGTTAACAAAAATTTCTAAAAATTTCAAAAAAAATTTTTTTTTTCCTCAAAAAGTAATTCGAATTAATTCTAAGCATTTTTCATAAACTTTTACAACTGAGTGTTTATTATCAGTGAAATAATAAAAAGTTAACTCAAAAATTTTTTTAGACTAAAATCAATATTTTTTTTTTCAGCTATATGGTAGACGAATTGTTGATATATGCCAAATTAGACGTAAAAATCAAATTGGCAATAAACCGCTTTCATCAATGGAAACATCATTAATTAGTGCGACAAGTGCGCCAGAAAAAGTATGAGATAAAGCTGCTGTAAAATGATTGAAAGCGATAGAAAACATTATGATAAACATTAATAGAATTCTTTGTTGACAAAAAAAAAAAAACTATTTCAAAATTTCAAGGATTAGAAAGACAAAATTGACACAACTAAATTCTTTTAAAATAAAAATATTTCTTAAGCTGTTTTTTTCTTTTTTTGGCAAATAGTTTTAATTTTTTATGTTTTAATTTTGCAACTATGATATTTAAAAATTTGAAATGAAATTATTTAATTTCGTTTTGCTAATCTTTCTTATTCAACTTTGCAACGAATAATTTAAAAAGTAATTTACGATAAAGTTTTATTAAATTTATTGAATTACTAAATGAGATATATTGCATTTTAGATATATATTATCAGAGCATGAAGGAATTGATAAAAACAATTTTTATTTCTTATCACAAACATAATTCGAAAAATTTCCTAAATTATCAATAGATAATTGAACTGAAATTCTTTGACAATAAAATAAAATAAAATAAAATTCAAACTTTATTCTACTAAAGAACACAATCATCTACCTTACACAAATTATTACAGTGAATTATTTGTTGAATATTAGAGAAAATTTTTAAAAATCATTAAAATAAGAAAGGATTCATTCTAGTTCACTTACTGCTTAATTGATGAATTGAAATCGTACGGGTAAATCAAATGGGTAAATTTCAAAACCATTCTTCCCTAACCACTTGGGTAAATTAAAGTAGTTGTTTTCTAATTAAACTTTCATAGAATAGAAATAAGTTAATACAAAAATATGCATTAATTCTCTATGAATAAAATTTAGTGATTAAATTATAGGTAAGTAAATAAGTAAGTAACAAAGTATTCATAGTATGTTAATTTTTTAAATTACAAATTTTATTCTATTCATTGACTATGTTTATATTAAAACTACAAATATATTGGATAACAAATGTAAGTTTTAAAAAAAAAGACAAAAACTTTTAAATTAATGAGTTAATTAAACAAATGAAAAAATATTTTTATTATAAAATGAAATTTTGATTGCAATTTTTGAATTGAAAATTTTCTATTTTGATCTAACTAATTTAACTAAATGTTTAATTTTAACTAAATTTAACTAAATAAATAATCAAGTAAGTGAGTATTTCAATGTTTAAACAATATTATATATAAAGTATTTTAATATTCAAACAATATTATATCAAATCCACAAACATATAATCCAAATGTTGATAAATCAGAAATGAAAAACAACAATGACTTACGCAGTTACTTATACTTGCTTTGGGATGCAAAAAGTTGCACAGTGGCTCAGGGAAGAAATTTAAATTTAAAAATGAATTGAAAAGTTAGACCGTTGATTGTGAGAATTATGGTTATTTAGCTGTCGATGTATTTGATTGATCAGACGGATACGTGTATGCCGGAAGTTCCTGTACGGGAATTTCAGGAATACTTCTGATCTAACCGGATTAGTGATTCCATTACAATTTCTAGACTACATCAACTATTACATTTATTACTTCGAACGGTTCAGGTTGTAAAGTAATGTTCGCTTCAACATTGAATCATGCAGAAGAATTTCTGAAAAGTATATGCTGTGATCAATGGTATTTACTATAATCAATCAAATGATGCATAAATTTCTTGTTTATTTTAATTTCTCACTAATTTTCTAGAAATTGAAATTTGTTTTTTCTTTCTTTCTTTTCTTTCTTCAAAATAATTATATTTAATTTAAAATGTATAAGTGAGTAATTGTCAGTTGAATTTTTGAAATTTAGTAGATTATTGCTGTAGAATATCTAGTTCAACGAATGATTGTAAATTCATCAAATTATTATACGAATTTGTTGAATTATTGTTAAATTTTGCAAATTTCAGTCATCAGCTATCGGATAAGTTACAGTTTATTGGATCATCATGCAAGCATGTTTTTTGCTGGTAAATTTCTTGTTTAGCTTTACAATAATCTGGAAATTTTGCTTTAGGACAAAGTGTTTTAAAACTAGAAATTCAAGGAAAATTTTTTTCATAAAATTTCCGAGATATCAATGATTCCCAACTTTTTATCGTTTAATATACTATTTAGAAAATGTATGTTCGACTTGTAGATAGATTATTGGAAGCGCTGAATAAAAGTGACTTTTCCACAACTTAAAATCAAAGCGGCAAATATATTTAATGCTACCTAATAACCCTCAAATTTTCACTCGCTGTCAAATGATAACTGACATTCCATTGTCACCAGTTTTTAATAAAAATATGCCAGGTCTCACACTGTCCACATAATGATTTCTGATGCTAATTTTGATACTTTTGAAATCCAACGAAAGGTGGGGAGATATTTTCCTGAGGCCACGAAAAAAACGCCACCCAAAAAAACACCACAAAATCTAGGTGTGAGTTATTCGGAATATAGAAGTGTGTGAAGTGTTTAAATTTTGTCTTGATGAATACATGTAAAACAGTTATCCATGCATTTTTCAGGACATGTGTCAACACAATTTGCGATGGAAAGTCTTTCCCATTATGTCCACAGTGTTTACTACCCGTTGGATTACAGCATATGAAGTCCGCCACTTTTGCTGATCAGCTTTTCCAAAATCTTTTATCTCTGAAAGAAACTCTATCTGACGTTAGTTCTCCTTCTGTGCAGTTTATTTTAAAGCATGAAAAAAAAATAGATGTAAAATTATTTCTTTGATAAGAAATACTGGTAAATTTTATTTGCAATGATATTTGACAGAAATAAGGTGGTAGTAACATGCTTATATTTTAAATTATTTTCTATATTTTAAGTTGTTTTATATCAGATCTTCAATTATGTTGCAATCTTAAAGCACTGAACATTATTCTTGGCGTCATCATGTTCAAAGTTATGTTATTTAATGATATCAATATATCGATATTTTAATTTCTGATGTACACTCAGTTGAAAGAGGCAGCAATATTGGATAATATTTTTAGTTTACCATTTCCCAATATGATCGACAAGTTATGCTTAGTCTAGTTGAAACAGATAAACAGCGAAGAACTGTGGAAGAGTTTTGTTCTACACAGGAATGTGTTAAAATCGAAGACGATGTTAATCATCCCAACATAAATGAGCAACGTAATGGATTACCGTCAGAGTAAGTCTTTGCATTGTTTGGTTTTTCTGAAATATAGGTTCAACGTCATATTTTGCTAATTTCGATTTTTCTGGATTGAATTTACTTTGATTTTCAGCAATAATAAAAACCATTTTGTTTTTCAATAAAGATTTTTGGTGAAGAATTGAATTAATTTACCGGTTCTTAGAACATCTCCTGTTTCGAGTGGTAATGTTTTGGACCTTGTTTCGCTATCAGGCGATGTTACACCATCCACGAAACTAAATGATACTGTTATTGCTAGAACTTCTATCCAAAATGATGTTATAATGACTCAGCAATTACGTGTTTATGATGAACCAGAGAAATTTCAATTCTTCAAGGAACCACCCCGAAATACTTTTGGTAGAGCTGTAGCAAAGAAAAGGATGGTATGTTTTTGAAAATAATATCTCTATTAATGTTTGACTGTAAATTAATCATAAGTGAGTTTTACCATTGAAAGCTATAATGATTCGGAAGAGTAATTTCCTCAGTGAATTTCAGTGTTACAATATGCTGCATCTATTCTGACACTTGAATATTTCTCATTTAAAGGAAATTTTCAGTCAACTGATTCCGAACTTGGATTGAAAAATTGGGGCGCTAAAAATCTAAGTACAATCCCATTAAAAATAACAATAGCACAAAATTCTCATAAATCACCAGTTCAACGATATGAATATAATCTAGTGAATGCAACTATACGCGATCAAAAAAAAAGCTTTTGGAAGCTTTAAAGGTGATTATTCTTTATTGTAACATGATAAATAGAAATGATATGAGGATTATAATGAAGAAATGTATGACTTTCTTCTGCTGAGAGATAATAACGATATCATATTTCATTTTTTTTTTTTTTTTAAATCATATTTTTTTTTTTTAAATCATTTTTTTTTTTTTTAAGAATGGAGAAGATGCTAATGAAAGTGACAATCTTGGTTTCACAGCGCTTTATCATGCTGCAGCTCATAATTACACTGAAATTTGCAAAATTTTGATTGAAAATGGTGCTCTCATCGATGCGCATGGTAGAGTATGATTTTTGGAATTTAAAATAACTTCAGTAAATTATGCTGAAAGTTGAAATTATTTTTGATCATTTTGTCAAATTTGTTGAAACGAAGTAATCTGACATCAGCGGCATAATAAATAATCTCGTTTGAGAGATTGTTAGCATAATTGGTTTAAAAAATTTCGATCATATTTTAACTGGAAGGTGTGCTGAATTGGATGATCGAGTAGTTCCTTTTTATGTGATAGTTCACTAAATGTCAATATGAAGGCATAATTAACTTCGAAAATTTTAATTAATCAAAATTAACGTAGGTGGAGAGTTATGCGAAACAGCTCTTCACGCAGCTGTGCGTTGGCAGGCTGTTGATGTTGTAGAATACTTGTTATCAAAGGGAGCAAATAGACGAGCGCGTAACTTAAAAGTAAGCTTATTTTAATTGTTCTAAACCATTAAATGGTTTAACCCAGCTAATTCTTTTTGATTTTTACTAGTTGTCTTCAGTATATATATATATATATTGTAAATATTGAAAATTTTAGAAAATAGAGGAATGAATTCTGGATTATAGGATGAAACACCAATGGATTTGATTAAAGATGATGAAATGCGAGCAGTTTTTGACAGAATTTCCCATCCGATTCAAATGGGTACGATTAACTTAGCCCGTTCAAAAAATGGCCATGATGAAGTGTATAGTTTTAGAGTAGATCAATAACGAAGACATGTTCTCTTGATATAATTTACTGAGACTTCAATGTCTGGATAAATTTGTTATGAATTAGAAAGGAGTATATTTTTTTTTTTTTACGGCACCAATCGAGACAAATTTGATCTGGTATTTGAAATAATAAGTAAAAATTTACTCGTAAATTTTCACGTTTAGGAAATAATGCATTTAAAACAATGATTTTTAATAATGCAATATGTTCTTTGCAGTATATCCTTCTCGAAAATCCAAAAAATATTCTGTCTTCCTATCGACAACATTACCGAATTTAAACATTGAACGTGGCAAACTTTCATTCAGTGATCTGTTACAAAATACTATGAATTTAGAAAATGCCACACATTTTGTTGTTCAAGCAGGGAAAAACCGAGCAACAGAAATCAATGGTAAGGTCTATTTAAAATTTTTGCAGTTTCAGAGCTTCAGGGCAACCAGAATGATAAACTCGTGAGAATTAAAAGTAGAAAGTGAGAAAATTAATAGTTTTTATAGTTGAAATTTTGGAAGCTATGCTGCGTGGACAATATATTTTAACCAGTGAATGGTTGAATGCATGTTTGGAAGCAAATGACATCGTAGATGAAGAGTTGTATGAAATTTCAACAATTATTCGTAATGGTCAACTGCTTGCTAAAAATTCATGTTCTACAGCCAGAATAAATTATGCTAGAATGGTTTGTTTGCCTGTGTAGTTATTTTTTAATTACGATGATAATTTTTGACAGTGATACAACATCAGTCTTCAATTTATTCCTGTCTTCGATATTATTATTTGTTTAAAATATGCAGTACAGAACAGATTTCCAGACGTTTCTGTCACTGATAATTTTTTCCTTCTCTGTTTATCAGCAGATGAAATGGAATTAGTTCTCAGTGACTTGCTTCTAATGATTTTCTTAAACAGCAATCATTTTTGTTAATTTCAGAAAAGGAAAAAAGATAAGAGAAATGAAATTTGTTCTTATTTTTTGTCTTATTCCTCTTTGTCCTACAGTTCTGCGCTGTTATGCAAATTTGCGACTTTTGTTTTGATATGTTAAGTCTAACTGACGATTTTGTGCAGTGAATCCATCAGGGATGACTTAAAGAATTTTCTAAAAATGGTCAACTATTAAGTGAATTTCGTTCACTTATCAGTTAGTGAACTAAAGATAATTCAGCAATGCTTTGTGGAATCATTGGAAGTCTCAAAAATTTTCACTTTGGGATCATGTAATCATTTAATCACATTGGGATGGGAGATGTAGATCAAATTTATTAGTGAAATAGAAATATTGAAAGAATTTTAAGTTTCTATATGAATTTTACGAACATTTTCGAAGTTATGTATTTTCAGGAGCCAGAGCTTTTTCGAGGATGTCACTTTTATTTTTGCAAGCACAAATACTTACCATATCGAGAAAATGAAGTCAAGAAACTAGTTCGATTAGCTGGAGGTGTAATACTTGGAAGAGAACCCAAAATAGAGGAATATATCGAGAGTGGACTAAGGCCATATCATGCGAAAAGAGCAGGAAATAATTTAAATGAGGTAAGAAGGCGCATCACTGTTGGCAAAACTATGGGAATTTGAATCTACTGAATTTTTATAAATTAATTCTCTTTTTTAATCCAAGAAACCAAGGTTACGGTAAATTTTCTTATGTATGATCACATACTAGAAAATAACTTTCAGGAATTTGTTTTTATAGGTTTTTCTATAATTTCAATATTTTAGCTGTTTGGTTTATTCGTAGTGTATATGCCAGGCCAGTCTATTCCACAACGGGTTACGAAGCAAAAATTTATCAGCCTTATTACGCCAATTTGGATAATGGAATGTATCGCGAAATTTACACTTTTGCGACCCGAAGATCAATGAAATATTTCTCCATCAAATGTTCCTATTCTGTACAAATACTTAATAGGAACTATTAAGGATTAAAGTTAATAATTCTTATATCTCTGAATCTCTCTCGAAATGTTAGAAATAGAACACGTCAGTATCCTAAATTCATTAATTACGGCCATCTTGTTAAACTGCCCAGTTATTCCATTTTACCTTTGTGACTAGATTAACGATAATAGCTTTAGTGATGTTTTAATCAAATTGATATTGCAATCTTGATTTGCTTAGATTTTTCATGAATTCCTGTACTTACACTCAAGCAATACTGTACAGTGATAGTAATATTATCAATCATATCGAATTCCGTTTCAGGAAAACGAACACTTGGTTTCAGCTCCATTAAAACTTGTGATCTGAAATCTAAACACTTTAAGGAATCGAGAGTGTTCTCCGGTCAAAAATAAATCGGTTATATTGTTATAAGTATTTTCCATGCTTTTCCATATGCGATATCTCAGGATATAACATGCTTTATAGCTCTAACATTCAAGAATGTACAGCAAAATGAAATGGTTGCTTTTGTGTTTACCTGATACAGATAAAGTTGTATACCACCATTATTTTTGGATTCTTGAAGCTTTAAATACAAAACAAACATTGTCAAGGTGAAAGAAAGCTGCGAAAATTAAACATAAGAAAATATACAGCAAATTAATAAAATATATTTGCACAGCAAACACCTTGCACATGTATGTGATACAAAGAAGCTTGCGCTTGCGCACAAAATAATTTAAATGTTATTGTGGTTATAGATCACATTAAATGTATCTAAAAATTCACTGAATTTCGAAAGGAACAAAGCTAAAGATGCTAGAACAGGTAGTTAAATTTCTTATCGAAAAGCAAACACTGAAATCCAAAGAGTTTTGGAATATTTTCCTTTCCGCTGTCATATGTTTCGTTTTAATATGTTTAAATTAAGCTGAGGATCTCTCAACCTACGTATAATCCTTTTTCATTATCATTATTATATATTCTTCATCCCAAAATTTTTAAGTGGAATACATTAAATTTTAAATCTGATCTGGTATTTTCATTTTGAAAATACCAGAAGCCCCATAGTATGAAGTATGATGAAGTTCGCGAATACTAGCTTCAAAAATGATAGTGTCAAAAAAACAATATATCGAGATAATTCAACAGGAACGTAATAATGAAAGCGTAGAAAAAGAAAGGAAAATATTTCACCAAAGTGACATATCTTGTGAGCCATCTTCGCTGAACACTTTGAAATATATCCAAACTGCACCAAAACAAACAATATTGGCGAGAAACACGAAAAAATACGACAGACCAGATATCTGTAATCGATAAAAATTGTTGCCCAATAATAAAAAGAATGAAAGTACATATTGAGAAAATAAGTAAGTCAATAAATAACAAACAAATTTTCTAATAATTCATTTTCAATAAAACTAATATGTTAGTTATTTAATACTTAAAAAAGAAGTGTGAGAGACGTTTTAGAACTATTATCAGCTAAAACACATGCGAAATAATGACATGTAACTCTGTAAGTAATACAATATGCATATAAGTGCTTTAAACTAATAACTAATAAATGAAGAATGTGGTTTTTTTTTTTTGATCCAGATTATGATCTAATACAATTCTGAATTTTCAGAAAAATAGTGTACAGATCAAATATAGAAGCAAAATAGCCTCGTTCCCACATTTTCATTCATCTTAAATCTAATTTTGAATTTCCAAATGAAGAGAGAAATTTTGACTTCTAAATCTCTTTTGATAAAAAACACACAATATACAAATATTAGCACTTTACGACATTTCATTCGAAAAATGATTGCTAATCACACTAAACATCTAAAGACAACGTAAATTAAACACTGAGAACAATGAAAGCCTATGAAATATGCATGTTTTCTTATCAAAAGGCAAGCTGACGCAAAGAATAAATTTCGAAAATTTTACTGTTCACATTAAGTCAACAGATATTTCTGAACTTTGCTTGTTACAACAAAATCCCTTAAAACGAGAAACATGTGAAGAAAAAAGCAAACTCATGCATTTATTGATCAAATCGACTGATCATAAGATAGGCTAACAATTGAAACATTAAACAAGCTACGAAAAGTACCCTTTTGACAGCACATTACTTCTTCAGTGAATTAAAAAAAAATGAAAACCTAAAATTTTCGAATTTTATCAGTAAAAAATGTTGCAAATGAAAAGTACAACATGCATTACCACTTTTCACTCAATATAATCCATTTCCACAACGATTTTCCAAAGTATCAATCAAAAGAGTGTTTGGTTCCATCCACTACCATCGTCTTCCCGATGTAAATAAAAATAACTAAGAATCGTCAAAAACATCACCAAAGAACCAAGATTTGCGCATAAACATGCCAACCATTTAATCTAAATTAATAAAAAGTAGCACGCACACAACAACATTTACTATTACAGAAGGACACACATACATTTAATACCTTTGAACTTTTAATTGCAATAGATTTAAATCCAAGAAAATCAAAAGTTTAGGCACTAGATATAAATTGAAGATGTACCTATAAGTGTGAGAATAACAAGTAACTTACCAACCAGTTAATTGTTAAGTGGACTGCTTATTGACAAATAATATTTAAAAAAAAGCACTCACCGTCCTTAACAACATGAGAAATAAACTAGTCTCACCGATAAGTAATCCTTATTTACAGACTCCAAAAAAAAAAAAATTTTTTTTCTACGATACTCCAAAGAACATAACTTAGACGATTTAAAAAAATTTTTTTACAAAGAGAAAAGGAAAGAAATTGCAAGTTTTTGGGCAAATTATATTTTCAGATGGTTATATCTATCAGCTACACATCTTTTATCAAAATAATTCCTATGACTAATCAATACATATAAATACTTCATTCAATTAAAGAGAGACAAAATTCATGCAAATCATGCATTTCTCAACAACTAAAAATTCACCAGACATGCAAAACTTTTGAAAAACAAAACCATTCCAAATAAAACAAAGAAAATAACATGAAGTATGTCACGTGGCACTGTCCTAATTTCGAATGAATCCTTCCGTAAAAGTTAAATCTCCAGTACATCCTTTATACGCTTTCGATGATTAATAGCAACAGTAAAATCTCAGATAAATTCCTAAAAACTTACCACTCCAGCATGTGCAAGAACCATCGGTAATGCAAACGCTGATACAACAATGCCGGTTGTTATGAACAATGCAAACTCAATACATGCTGAAGTACCAGTCATGTCAACGTGAGATCGCCGAGCTATTGATAACGGTATTGGAGCCAATACATAGAAAATTACGACAAACAATGGCCACCAAATACTAAACAAAAATTTCTTTCAATAAACCATCAAATTTTTTTACAATTAAAAGTCTAAAAGTTATGATTAATTTGATTTTATTTTATAAAAAATAACATGTAATATAAGTAATATTAAAAGTTATTCTAAATTTACTTCCTTACCCAAACATTGGCAATGCACATCCCAGAACAAGCAGCGTAAGACCAACCACACCAGATAACGCTAAGAGTACAACCGCTAAAACAATATTTTCATCGAGAAGTGACAGGATGAACTGTTTCATGATAATGATAACATAATAAATAACTACATTTGTGGTTATTTCGAGCTTTTCAATGTTTTTAAGTTATTTAATACAAAAAAAAAAGAAAGATAAAAGCACGATAAGACAAAAGATATTTTTAAATTAAGGGATGTTGAAGGATGAATCAAACAAATAAACGATTAGCTATAATAATTTTCCCTTAATCAATACTTCCTTTCACCTATTACGATCAAAGGAGAATACGGTGAATCTTTATTACTAGCATTACTATTTTATGTAAATCTGCTACTATTCCCATTTCTGATACTATTACTGTAATTTCAGAAGTACAAGGGTTACTACTATTACAGTATTGGTTGCAGCATATTGTTACAGTACTACTATCACCAGTAAGAATAATGGAAAAGTATAAACTCGAGTATTACCTCTGACTCCTGCCATTGATCAGTGTGACAAAGAGACCACGGTAGAACTCTCCTAATGGTTGATGTCAGTAGCAATAATCACTTCTGGTGCTTTCTTCCAAAATTACCTAGTCTTGAAAGATTCAAAGAAACCTGGAAGCACGATTAAGTTATGCAATATCTTAGTATATAAATGTCCAGGTGAGTTTATTTGGCAGAATTTTTTTTTTTTTTTAATTTAATTAGAACTAATAAAAATTCTTTTCACAGTTTTATTTATTATGAGAACTCAATTATTGAAATCAAAACTATTGCGATTAACATATCTATCACTTCTAAAATACTATTGGCTACAGCAAAAATTTCCAAAAACTTGTAAACAAAATGAGAAATTTACAAGTTTTTCGTATACGACAATTGGAGCATTTCGAAACGATTACTAATTTATCATATTTTAAATGCCTTTTTCTGTTTTAATGTAAATATACTAATTAAAATTTTGACTGTCCACGTGAACTTTAAGGTCTACTTACACAAAGATCTAATATAATTCTTTATAAGTGTCGACACTTTTTCACGTAAATTTTGATTCTAATGCATCCTTGCATCTACGTCTATTTTCCACATACACTTATTATCTCTTAAACTAACTTCTAGATTCTAATATTCCTCAAAATATCACTTTTTTATACAAATAGAAATACTGCTCAACTAAGATCCTCACGTATCCTCAAGTAAGTCTCGAATAGATTTTCGAGACTTACTTGAGGATACGATTCCCTTGTTTCTCACTCAGTCATTCATTTATCTGCTTTTCCCCTCGGATAAATATTCTCTCAGTCACTCACTCATCTGCTTTTCTCCGCGGGTAAGTATTTTCTTACCCAGTCACTTACCTGCTTTTCTCCGCGGGCAAGTACTTTCGCACCCACTCATTTATCTGCCTTTCCCCGCGGGTAAGTAAAAAAAAAAATCTAATTACCAAGCATCTACCCACCATTGCGAATATTATTAGCAGGATGAATGAAAATGGTCACCTACGCATCCGAATTTTGTTTTGCACGAAGAATTCAGAGATAAGTGGGTCGAAATGGAGCTTCGATAGCAACCAGATTTGTCTTATCGGTAAATCTCGGGGGAATGTCAGTAAGTCTCAGAGGAATCTATGGTATCGGTTATGTTTCTGATTGCATTTTTATTCGAATTTTAATTTAGCTTGTATATATATATATATATATGCGTTACGATTTTGAAATTCGTATATCATGTTTAATTTATCTGTAAGTACCAATGTTTATGATTTATTTAATATGAAACATTTGTGAATTACAGATTTTCAGGTCATTTAAAAAACTAAATGAAAATTTTATTTTCAACCTTTAACATAGTAATTTATATTTTGAAGGAATTTGTGGCTACGCATAATTATTAATTGTTATTATCCAGCAGTTCAGTATTTTTTCACGACTGAAAAATATGTTGATATATTAAGGATTTTTCATTTTGCATTTCTACTGCTTATAAGGATTCTATCTATTTGCTACAATTTGTTAATTCATAGTTTTAATGATATGAGTGACAATGATCCACCACCAGTACTTACAAAGCAAACTACATGTGATATCACCTCGACTACGGACATTTCACTATCAACTGTGACAACATGTACTACTGCTACTACTACTACTACTACTAATAATAATAATAATAATAATAATGCATCAGCATCTAACAGCAATGATTCTTTTACAAAAGCAACAACTGTTGTCACACCTTCATCATCATCCTCTTCAGTTTCCGATTCAATGCAGGTTACTTCAGGTTGTGGTTCATTTCATACAAATTGTAATTGCTAATTCATCTTTATCCTATGTTAACCTGAACTTTCTCTGTAATAAATTACAGTAATAAATTGCTAATGAATTTAAGTATAGCGTTTAAATTTTAGTTCCTGATTTCAATTTTGATATAGTGGAAGTTTTTTAATTTAACATAAAAAATATTCCATTAAATATCACTTTTTTAAAATTGTTTTCTTTTTGCTTTTAATTAATCATTCGTAGTATTTCATTCAGTCCAAGTTTTAGTTATAAGCAGGAATTTAGATGCAGTGTAGTCTTGTATATCTTTGTAATGATTAACATTTGTAAACAATTAGGGGATAATTCAAATTTATTTATGCTTCAGCCTCTTCTAACATATCTGTGTCATCATCGAGTAAGAGCGTAATATCGGATACCAAAAATGCAGCTAATGTTAGCGCTGAAGGTAGTGCAGCAGCTGCAACAGCAACAACAATATCAGCAAGTAGTAGCAATGCCGAGACGGCTTCTTCAACATCATCAACACCACAACCAGCTCCAAAAAGTCGCCGTAAACCAACATCTCGTAGTAAAAAGGACTCCACTGATAAGACAAAGTAAGACTTCAGCTTTGGTTTTAAGTTTACAATATGGAGTTGCAGCAGTTTTATTAGTGAAAATTGATGTAGCTTCATGGTGAACTAATCATGGTATAAATTTGAAAGGAAAAATTTATCGTAGAAAATTTTAAAATGATTTACTTATTATATTCATTGCATAGTCCCATTACTGCTTTGCATATCCACGTGATTTGAATCCTAGTGGTACAGTACGGGTTTCTAACTAACGTTCTCATTTCATATTTAGTTATTTCACCATATACTGCGGAACTTTTTTGATTTGCACCGACGAATAAAGATTTTTATCAGAGTAGTTGAAGAAAATATAGTGCTATTACCAGTTAATCAGGACAGTGGTGCTTTGATAATACTAACTGTTTTTAGATTTAGCTTAAATTTAATAAATAAATTTGATTGAGTTTGTACTGCAAGGTCCGCTTCATATTCTTAGTTTAGATTCTCTTTTTAGAACTTCGACCGCAGTCGTCAGTTCATCTTCTGCTACTCAAATGGTTCCGCAAGCACCGTTAATGCTAACTTCTGCGTCGGTAATTTTCTTGTCAAATTGCGTAAACAGTTTTTAAAAGTTTGATTTCAATTAAATTCAATCCACTGGTAGCTTTTTTGACTATTTTCTATTTCCATATCCAATCCGCAATTTTTGGAATATTTTCTATTTTCAAGTAGTGCCGCTTAAGGTACAACTAATATTATGCTAATGTTAAGGTTCTATTAGTTTATTTGGTCTGACACTAATTTTACTAACTAAAAAGGCATAGAACTTCAACAGCTGGGATTAGTATAACATTCTTAATTATCTTGTCATAAGGAACTGGAAGTGCAAATCGGGGGTTTAGTTGTTTATTAGCAAAGATTACGTAATATTCAGCCTGGACAGTTCATGCTTGTTCACCATAATGGCCAATGCTATATGATGTCGGCAACACAATATTTCGGTACAAATCAACAAATTGCAGCTGTTAGACCGGTAATTCTGAACTAGCCATTTTCCAATGATCAAAATTGGAATATGTCTCTTATTTTTAATATCTGTGCACCATATACCTTCGTTTCCTTTCAATTTCCACAGAGCTTTTGTTATTCTAGTGTTTCTTTTTATGATTTCCATTCTTTTTATATTTAGTTTTCCGCAAAGTTAGTCCTAACGTTTACCGTTTACAATTTGAAATTCTTCTTCACTACTCCTCTTCTCTTCATCTTCTTTCCTGTGTTTTTGTTTTTTTTTTATTAATTTAGTTCTCACTTCATTTGCAGCAGCAACAACAGCAACAGCAGCAACAACAACAGATTTCTGCACCAACAACATCATGCACTACCACCATTACCACTTCGGCACAGGATTTTTTCAAAGTAATACAACAGCAACAAGCACAGTCGGTTCAAAATTCGACAAATGTAGTAGCTGCTGCCCAGCAGTTCTATTCACAGCAACAGTGTCGTCATATGCACCCGGCATGGATTTGGTTTTTCCCATTTTTGTTTCGCTTCCATCATCACTTCTTGCACGCTTTTTTTTTTGATTCAGTTTTTGTGTAGTTTTTATTGTTTGGTTTGAAGTTTCGATTTACACAACATAAATGATACATCATACACCATTACTTTTTGTAAATGATACACTTTTTTTTTTGCCTCTCAGCAATAAAAAAGTGCTGAAGGAGTGGTGTTAAATAAAATTAAAGATAAAAGTGGAAGTATGATGTTATATTTACGTTCGGATGCGACCTTTGTCCAATTTCTGCCAAGTAACTGTCGGATATAGACAAATGCATGCGTTGGTATGAGTTTTTTTTTCTTGATTTTACTTGAATTTTTATTAAATATTGATGTTTTCTGACAGATTTTAACTTACTCCGTTAAACCCTTTCTTTCTGTATTTTTTTTTGTCAATGTTAACATCGTTTCTGTGTGTCTTAATTCTTGTGTTAAGATTATTCTGCTTCTTTTCCAATTCTAATACTTTGTTCTTGTTGTTTATCATCCAAATACTTTTCTTGGTGCACTTTTCTTTTTTTTTTTTTTTTTTTTTTTTTTTGAGGATATTAAAATCTTGATTTGTAAGTTTATATTCCTAGACCGTAATTCAAAATCTAAGCTTTTGAAACATAGTCTTAAATGACAGAATGAATCTTTAACGGTAGCGTTGCTGCAATCATTTACCAGATAAATTTTGA